ATGTAATGTATTGGAGGAGTCACGGGTCAATGGTTCTCTACGAGGAGGAGTTGGAGACCTGGGAGACCTGGACCTGGCTCGGGTAGAGGCCTTTAACAGAGTTATACAGGTTTTTACCACGTGACCGATATTCGCAACTAGCACGCAGGTCCAACGCAACTTGTAAGTTTTGAACGCAACTCAAACGCAACTCGTAAGTTCTGCACGCAACTCACACGCAACTCGCACGCAACTCGAACGCAGGTGATCGCAGATATTGGGGGGATCATAAGTTTAGTTCGCAACCCACACGCAACCCACACGCAACCCACACGCAACCCACACGCAACCCACACGCAACCCACACGCAACTCACACGCAACCCATAGGTTGAATAGGTTGAATTGTTGATTTGGGTTGCGTTTGGTGCGTATAAAAATATTTTTTACACGCAACCATACGCAACTGGTGATCGCTATGGTGTGACAGCACCTTTACCAAGTTTTGGTAGCGTACATGTTGCGAATGTGTTGCGTACCTGTTGCGATCATGTTGCGATCGTGTTGCGTGCCTGTTGCGATCATGTTGCGTGTGTAGCGTACCCCCAACATATTATGCGTATTCCCAGCATATCCCCAACCTATTAGTTGCGTGTGAGTTGCGTGTTAGTTGCGTACTACATGCGTGTTGAGAAATGGTATAAATAATTGGACTTTTCTAGATCGGTGTCAGTTGTTGGTGGACCTCCGAGGTGACAACATGGAGCTACCTCTTGCTGTTATTGGATATCAGTTTAATCTGGTCAATTTAGCACTCCAACACATACAGAATAGAATAAACAGAAGGGGGAGAAGAAGAAGAAGAAGAAGAAGAAGAGTGTGGGTTAGACCATAGATTAATTAGCAGGCGCCTTGACTTTGGTCTCTACGACCAGCTTCTGGTGGAGCTCCGGAACGAAGACCAAGGTGCATTCAAGAACTTCATGAGGATGCCCCCCATGTACGATGAGCTGCTACGGAGAGTTGGTCCTCGCATCACCAAGCAAAACACCAAGTACAGGTTGCCCCTGGACCCTGGCCTGAAGCTGGCAGTCACTTTGCGGCACCTGGCCTCGGGTACCAAGTACTCCGACATGCAGTTTTACCGTTATTACAGGTTTTTATTATTAACAGGTTTTTATATTACAGGTTTTTACCACGTGACCGATATTCGCAATTAGCACGCAACTAGCACGCAGGTCCAACGCAACTTGTAAGTTTTGAACGCAACTCACACGCAACTAGCACGCAGGTCCAACGCAACTTGTAAGTTCTGCACGCAACTCACACGCAACCCATAGGTTGAATAGGCTAGAAATTAACAAAATTGTTGATTTGGGTTGCGTTTGGTGCGTATAAAAATATTTTTTACACGCAACTCATAGGTTTCAGCATACGCTATGGTGTGACGGGTACTGATAATAAAGCCAGTGCTATAATAACAAACACCAATTTCGTCTGCTCTGATGCATTGGGAAGTTATGCACAGGAAGAGGTTAGCACCCAAGTCTCTGATGTGAGAGTGCACTTACATTTACATTGAGAATTATCAAAACCACAATACGGTTCATCTCTAGGAATACCATTCAGCCAATCAATGTCTTCCGTCTTAACGTAGGAAACCTGGAAAATGGATTGAAACTCAACTATAGTATGAACTTATATGGTATTAGTGACTGCAGTAGGCTATTAAAAGGCACATGCAGAGTTACTTACTTGACATGTTTGGGGAAAAATTGCGCTAAGAGAGTTAGTAGACAGCTGGTAAATCACACGACGGAAAAATAGATTATATGCGAATATAATTATTGTATATATGTAATGCCTTCTTTCCTTCTCCTTTTACCAAATGCGCGTAGGTCCAAATCATGAGTAAATTACATTTGCGCAGCCTCTGTAGTCTCTCTGTGCATAGTAAAGGAACCTCGTATTTATTCCTGCATTGCGTTTAGACTTTACACGAACAGAAATAGGCAAACAAAACGACCGATTAAACTTACAAAACCTACGTTTACATTATTATCATAAAACATATATATAACGTATAATTAAATTACTAGTAAAACTATTACCGGTAGTTGGTAGGCAGTAGCACTTGATACGGCCTGGAATTCTCCTATGGTTCTCATGGCCCACGTTGCACCCTTGCTATGAATACTTTTGCTCTCTTTCAGAGACATAACTGTATAGTTTCCCTGCGCGTCACCATCTTCATTTACATGAACTTCGTGACCTTGAATACCTGCCGCAGACAATGTGACAATAGAATTATGAAAGTGGCGGCTACTTATTGACGTTATTGGGTTATTTTATATCTTTTTGTGTCATTGTAAAGAAATAATGCTCCAAGAATCTATGAAAATCAATGGATCTCATGCGATCCAAGATAGGCCTACTCATGAGAATGCGAAGTTTGTTTTTAGTACCAGTTTAGTTGTGTTCACTTGTCAATGTGCTAACTCGTGTTGCACCTAGTAGCCTTAGAAGCTTGATAAGACATCTACTACCGCATCAAAGCAGTGTGTGCGATGGCAGGTTGCAAGCTTGATAGTGAAGCTGTGAGTGTAAATGGCGTCCACCTACTTTTGAACGTCGCGTTGATCATCCTCTGCACGATGGCAGATCCATTGTAAGCGACGGTGATGTTGCCACCGTTGTGCTGGATGGTTTCATTGAGTGCTTTGGCATAAAAGAAGACGGCGTCGTAGGCGTGTGCCGCGTATATCGGTACCTACAATAGCGGATTCATAGTACCGCACATTAGACCGCATATTAGCTGCTAATATAGGACTTCCTTAAATCCGAATAAATATCTACTAATATATGCGTGCGTGTGCGAGCGTACGTGTGCGTGCATGCGTGTGCGTGCATGCGTGCATCCGTACGTGCGTGCGCGCGTGCGTGTCTGTGCACGTGCGCATGTGTATGCGTGCGCGCGTTTATGTATGTGTATGTGTATATATGTGTATGTATATATATGTGTGTGTGTGTGTGTATGTATGTGTGTGTATATATATATATATATATATATGTGTGTGTGTGTGTGTATATGTTTCTATTATGAATTAGGCAACTTGTAGCTAGGTATTCCCTATGATGCAAGAAGGAAATATATATGAACAGACAGACCTACTGCAAAACCAATATCCAGCATAAATATAAAGCTATAGCAATAAATCACAAACGAATGGTGACACCTACTGAGGGAGTAAAAACCGGTGGAGGTGGATCCATCTTGAAATGTAGACTTGAATATTCTATGCTACTCTTCTCGAAGTTACCAAACTCTGGATTGCTTGGTGGCCTTGGTGTTATCTTGAATACTTGCCGAAAACCTTCCACAGACATTGGTAGAATCTCAAAGCGCTTATCGAATTCTTCGTTCTTTTCTAGAACTATAACAACAATATTCATACGAGCTCGATCAAGGGCAGTATTGAAGAATTTCTAGCGTATATGTACGGTTATTTCTAGCGCTATAGCGTAATTTTACCGGATTTAATTCGCATGTGCTCTCGCGGTACGGCAAACAGTGCTTTGATTCGATGAACCACAAGTTCTACGAGACACGGAGAGTTCTTTAGATATAGGTTATCAATAATCATATATATTTATAATTGAAATCATAGCCTACGAGTTAAACTAGTTGATACGGAGATTAAATATATTAAATGTGCTACTGGCAGTGTTAAGGAAACGTGCACGTGCGCCAAACAAATTTCGGCCCGAAAATACCGAACACTTATTTATAGCTCAAGGGCACCATCGTTCAATTTCACGCGTGTGCGTGCGTATGTGCGTGCATGCGTGCGTGTACGAGCGCAATGAGCTAGCAATGGTATCTAATCCCTATTAATTATCCACCCCTACCACGTTGGCAAGCTGGCTTTCGTTGCCAGAAACATTATAAATAGTCATGACATCATAATTAAATTTTCCAGCACATCATAATCTCTGCAGGTGAGTCGTGTTACGTGAAGGTTACGACATCGTGTTAAGCTGGGTTTACACTACCGACTTTATGTTGTCAAATTGGCGAATTAGACCAATTTCGCAACTATACAACCGACAATCGGCAGTGTAAACGCAAAAGTCGCACGAGTAACTGGTTAATAGCAACTAGATGGGAGATTAGAACATGTTCTATTCTCACCAACTCGGTGTTGCCGAGTTGCGAAATTGATTCAACTCGCCAATTCGCCAACATAAATTCGGTAGTGTAAACCCAGCTTTAGCTGTTCACGATGTGGTTACATTTCTGCAGATGAGGATGCTGGTCCTGCTTGTCCCTGTACTCATCTCGCTGCTCCTCTACGAAGATAATCACGTACTCATCGAACTTGATCTCATTTGCCTCGTCCTTGATGGCGAGGTAGATGACGAGGTCCACTAGTGCGTCGTTCTGGTTCGTGATCAGCACGTACACTAGCGAAGAAAGCGAAGTATTAACGTACGGAAACGTCAGACTGTAAAGAGTACATACCCGGTAAACGCGGCAATTAATGATAGAATCGAGATGATGGTAGCAACAGGTGGAGACAATAGTAGCAACAGGTGGAGGCAATAGTAGCAACATGTGGAAACAATGGTAGCAACATGTGGAGACAATAGTAGCAACAGGTGGAAACAATAGTAGCAACAGGTGGAAACAATAGTAGCAACATGTGGAAACAATGGTAGCAACAGGTGGAAGCAGTAGTAGCAACAGTTGGATGGGTGGTAGCAACAGTTGGGTGGGTGGTAGCAACAGTTGGATGGGAGGTAGCAACAGTTGGATGGGAGGTAGCAACAGTTGGATGGGAGGTAGCAACAGTTGGATGGGAGGTAGCAACAGTTGGATGGGAGGTAGCAACAGTTAGTATTGCTTCTAACTGTTGCTACCTCCCATCCAACTGTTGCTACCTCCCATCCAACTGTTGCTACCTCCCATCCAACTGTTGCTACCTCCCATGGTAGCAACAGGTGGAAACAATA